TTTGCCTCTATCTCATTCGCACTTGAGTTTTCTCCCAATCTGGGCAGATGTTATGCATATTCAAATTTGCAACGTGCCATGCCGTTTGCACTTATTCCCTCTTCTTCCATATTTTTTGTCTTCTCTTTTGAACATTTTTCTTCGCTGTCCTTTTTCTGGTTTAAAGGCCTTAAGTTTATTTCAGTATTCAATCTAATTAGTGTTATATAGGAGCTGATGAGCAAAATTTACTTGTTAAGATTGAACGGAAGTCCCTAACGAAGGCTGTCAGCAAGTAGGTGTTTATTATCTGCATGCATGGTGCAATCATTTACTACTGCAGAATATCTGCGCAAGGTGTGTTGAAATTATGTCCCCCAACTCGAAGTAAGACATTTATAGTCTATTTCGATTGAGATGTGTATGTACCTGTGTGACAAAAGGCTTGTAAGGCTCGGCAGCGGGTCTCCGAAGAGCAAACTTGAAGTCGATTCTGAGGAAAGTAGCAAAGGAGTAAGAATACGGGGCCGACAATTAGAGGGATCTCAGATTCTTCTTTCGTTTTTGCCTTTCCTAGCCTCACTTTAGCACCCTCCGATAGTTATCCATCACATATGTCCACAGGCTGCTCCAGGGCTTGAGAGCGCATCTGCGTGGGAGGTCTAGGTATTTTCAATAGTTTGCTTGAATCCGTTTTTCCAAGCAAATAGCCAATGAGCAGTTTTCAAAAGTGGTAGGAAGATACGCAAGGCAATTCAAAGATTGTATGAAAATTTCAAAAAAAAAAAAACTTAGAACATGAAAATCTTCGTACTTTTTTGTGCTTTAGGCCCCAAAAAAGTGTTTGATATAAAGAACGCAAAATTGTGAGAAACAGAGGTTCAGCAGTGACTTACGGGAGATCTCAGGCCTGCGATTAACAGAAACCTTTTCGTTTCTCGTGACTTTGCCTTTTTTTACATCGGCCTTTTTTATTCATCCCTTGACCCTATAGCGAAATAACCAGCAGCGCAATAAACAGATCAAAGCACTTTTTTCTTTTCCTTGCTAGAGCGCTAATCGTTTTACTTTAATGAAGAGAATGGTTCCAAAACACACTCCACTTCCCATCCTCTTACACGCGTTTCTACAGTTTACAAAGGCGGCTTCTAATTTGCTGGACATTCAAGAGGGTATTCTTTCTCACAAGGTCCAGCCAGAGACGTAGTGACGAGGTGTGGTTGCGGGTGACCCCATGCGGGAATTCGACGAATCGGGATGCGGAAATACGTGGCCCATCTCAAACGAAAAAGGCTATTGATGGCCCCACCTAGGGACGCGCTGAATATCACAGTAACGTCCAATAGAGGTCCCCTAAGCTTTCACAAACGGTCGACACTTTGCAGTTGTATTTTATATAGCATGTTTTTTCTAAGATCCAATCTTGACTTTCGAGGATTTCCAGAGCCCGAATTGTCAGACAAAATTCGCCTCAAAAGTACCTTCAACTTATTGGAATTTATGTCAGCCCGGTAAGGTGTATTTTTATGGACACATGCCGTATTTTGGAATTGTTCCGGAATCCACCTCAAAACTTTAAGTTATGGATTTTGCTGAACTTCGCCTAGGAGACATGCTGATTGCGAAAACCATATCCACTTCGCGTGTTAGGTCATACTGCAAGCAATAGGTGGACGGTGGACAAAACCATGAAATCGGTTGAATCTTACTCAAGCGAGTTTACCAGTATGAATGTATAGTGCTGGATGGGAATGATATTTTGCGATTTAACAAAATAAAAGTTCTTGATTAGGCTAGGATTTTGAAAGGTGCCCCTGCTTCGAATCGACTGCCATTAAATTTTTGGCTTAAAGGTGTTTCGCAGATGATGAAGACAATCTAAATGCTCCTTTCAGAGGCATTTGGCCAATTCAGTTTATAGGCCTGTATCAGATGGATTAGCTTGATGTTTTAGATTGAAACAGACACAGACGATAAATGTCCTCTGATTGCGTCACACGTGAAGGGAACGCTTGCTTATCTACCACCAGAATTTATAACTAATAAGATCCTTTCCACGAAATTAGATGTGTACAGTTTTGGAATAGTTCTACTGGAGATAGGCACAGGTACGATGTTCACACTGGTGTCTTGTAAGAAGATGATTATGGACATATTATGAACATCTTGCTTTTAGGCATGCGCGCTTACATGGACTCGCGCAGTCCTCCGAGCCTTGCCGAATACTGTGCCATTACCAAAAGTTCATACAAAGGCAGTGACTGGGTAGGACTTCTGATGGACAAACGTACACCAGCTCTGGAAAACAAAGGCACATCAGTAGCATTTCTATTTTTCACCGATATTCTTTTTTTTTTCTTAGATGCTCTCACGTGGTGGTTCGATGGCTTGATACGCTTGGGCCTGCAGTGCGTAGAAAAGGATAGGCTTGCGCGTCCACCTTTTCCAGAAATTGTCAAAATCTTGTCAGAGCTTTCCATTAATTTCGACTTCACCGCATAGCAAGAAGGTGCTCAGTAGACCAAATTCCTTCTCACAATCTTCTGCTGTTTTGATGTAGCACATTATTTTGCTTTTCTGATTTTTTCTAACTTATTAAGCTGCATTATATTTAGTACTTCCTGTATCAGCTTTTAAAAGATCTCAAACGAGTAAGGGTACTAGTCAGCTTCTTCATTATCTGTCTTTCCTGTCCTCACTTGTTTCTTTTTTGTTTACTTTACGTTGGAACTCATTTTTCAATTTCTATGTAGAATTCAATTGCGACTTTGTATAAAAGTTTGTCACAACATTATTCTTGTCTAATTTGCTGTAATCGGCATGCTCTTGCTAAGCTTTCCTGCACATTCAAATCTTTACAAATAAAAGATTCAGGTCAATGTTTAGGATACTTGATTGCATATGCTCACACATCCTCTCCTTCTCGTCGAGCTCCGTCTCATCTTTTTAAGAGGCATAAAAGCATAGAAGGAAATATTTTCAGGAATCAAATGCCGAAGCGAAAAAGGTCTCTTAGCGCGTCTGCCATAGGTAAAGCTTCGAAAACT